AAATTTTGGACATTACAACACGAGAATCCCACCGGTGGAAGGAAATGGCCCCCAAATATGGGTGGAAGGCCAAGAACCACGATAAGTCTAAGTTCTTCTTCCTTTTGTCATTGTACGAACATAAGTAACTTTGCTAACCCCATTTTTTTCTTGACTTAGGACTGCCGTAGGGCTCTATCACCTACCCCGAGGTTGACATTTAGTGAGGGTGCTTCCTCTCGGAGTCCCCAGCTAGAGAACAAGAAACCAAAAAGGCAATGTTATTTTTCAGATGGGGGCTAAAATAAAATAAAGGCCACAACAATCGAGCCGACCACCGTGGTTGTTCTGGAAGATGGAGAAGCCAGTGATGAAGTGGCTTACCTCCAAAGAAGAAAAATAACTTTATCAGCTAAACCGCATGCTCCCGCGAGAGCTTCAAAACCCAACCGTAGATAAGGTCCAAGCACTTTGGGGCGAGATGGATATGGTGGAGGATGCTGATTCACGCTTTCCAACTCCCGTTGGTGTCTCCGGTCCAAGAAACTCGGATTCGGGGCCACTTCTGCCTTTGACCACTGAGCAACCAATAATCAGCACCGCTCCTGCTCAAGCTGCTTCTCAACCTTCAACGCTAACAACTTCATGCCCCTCTACACTAGCTGCACCTTCGCCACCAGCACCCAATGTGTCTTCTCCACTGGCAACAAACGTTCAAGAGGGTGTGCTTCTCCTCCCCGGTCTCCTGACCACGAGCATTTAGGGCACAATTACTCACCCCCTTCCCAAGATCCCCGAGGGAGGAGGAGTGTTACTATTTCGGTTTCGAAGGAGTGTCATCTGATATCCAGGACGGTGGAGCTTGCGAACTACCATAAGCCGCTGGCTTCAGAGAAAAATAGTACGAAAATGCGCTCACTTTCGGGATTGTTTGTTGAATAATACTATGCATAATGCGGCAGCGGTACCGTACTTTCTTATCACTTTTTTTTTTCTATTTATCTGTTGTAATGGGATTTCTAATTTTGATATTCTATTTTACATGCCAATTTAATTGCTTCAGAGGACTTGCAGAATTTGATCCTTGATAAGTAAGGATTCGCCTCCAAGCGGGATCAACTATTGGCCGAAAGGGATCAACTTGTTGCGCGCCTCCTGATGATGGAGGCAAAAGCTGTTGTGGTAGGCGAGCTTGAGGCCCAGTTGCAACAAAGTGAACAAGAAGTGATGGCCCACAACCAAGAAGCCACTCAATTACATGCACAATTCCAAAAGGCTAAGGCTAAATAGGCTGAGCTCCAAAATGCTATGCTTGCTGCTGCTGAGCGCGAGTCTGCCTCCGAGGAACAAGTGAATAACTTGAAGATAGCCTTGAGCTCCAAAACTGAGGAGGCCAATGTTGTCGAGGAGAAGAGGGCCAAAATGAAGGAGAGATTTGAGAAGATCATGGAGCAAAACCGAATTCATTTATCTACAACCCGTGATCTTGATTATAGCCTCTGTGCCATGAGATCCGAGAATGATGACCTTCAGGCCAAGGTTAAAAGACTTAAGGAAAAGCTCCAGTACCAAGGAGATTCCCTCGTATTTGAGAAGACGTATGATGTGTATTATATGAGGATAAAAACCTTGGAAGAGGCCAAAGCGAGCATCATTGATATTGATGATTGCATCGCTAAGGCCCGAGAAATAGAGCTAACTGATCGGCCTGCCACAACTAACTCTTCGAGCACCGGTCCGAGTATTTGGGAACCGAGGATGAATTGAAGAGAATGATGATGAAGGCCTACGCTCCGAACCGGCAGCTGATTCGCCCTCTTCCAAGAGGGGGAGGGGGCGTAGATGCCTCTCTCCACCCGGGCTCCTGCGGCGATAATGCTTAGATTCTTTCATTTTGTTGTTTTTTCCCTTTATTTTTTTTGTACGTTGGAATTATGCCAAACTTTTCATCATGTTTGGCACTTTTGATGAATAAAGAAGAACTTTGCTTCAAGTGTCGTGCAGGATACATGTTTGTTGCGTTGAATTAGTTAAAGCTTCAGGCATACTTTCATCCGATAGCTTCTGATTTCGGGCATGAATTCTTTTAGAATCAACCCTTTACAATGAGAGTTTCATAAAATAGAGTCATCTTATGTTTGCGGTGCTCTTGAAGAGGACGTCTCCTGTTCATTTCGGCACAAGAATTTGAAGTTTTTTGTTAACTTACAAATGATAAAATAAACTTATTGTTTGGAAAAGAAACAAGATAAAAGTAAAAGGACTTTATTTAATTCCTTCTATATTTAAAAGTACATAAGCATTTATTTGCTAAAGAAAATAAGAAACCACCAATACATGTGGCTAACTTGTACAACTTAATTTCTACGGGGCTAGCCATGCAGTCCCCGGTTCGCTGAGACATTATTATTTCTGGTTCTTATAGTTCCCGATTTTCGTGGCATTCTTGTTGTCGTATTTGATACTATTCCCCTCCCCAGTATTCGAATGCGAAGTATGAGAATTGGAACACTGGAAGTGTTGCTTCATCGGTAGAAACAACTCGTGAGCGGTTAAATAGTCTTTGGTTCGATGGCAACTTTTGTTTCCCATTAGGAACTTGCCATCGAGCCAAAGATTATTTAACCATTCATTAGTGGTTTATCATTTCAATGCCTTGTCATTTAAAGGTCTTAACCTTGCCGATGGCGCTCTTCTCAGTGTATGCTTTTCGTTGCTGTCTCATTAAAAACCACGCCAAAAAAACCCGATTGGAACAAAAACTGGTTGAAGAAAAAAAAAGTGCAGCACATACTTTCAGTATTGATATGATCATCTGCGGTAATACCTTTTGTGGTGATTTACGTTCTAGTTGTTGTTCAATTTGACTCCATCTTGATTTTCCAACCCGTGCGATTCTTTACCGGTGACAGCTGAAATCCGGTAGGGAGCTTCCCATGTTGGACCTAGTTTCCCAGCATTGATTTTCCGAGATTTCTGAGTGACGTTTCTCAAAACCAAGTCTCCTACTTTAAAGTAACAGAGATTGTCCCTCCAGTTATAATACTTTTCCATCCTTTGCTTTTGAGCCACCATCCTCACGTATGCCATGTCCCAGCATTCGTTTAGCAAATCCATCTTCACCAGCAATGCCACATTGTTTGTTTCTTCATTTGCTCGGGAAAACCATAAAGTTGATTCCCCTACTTCTACCGGTATCAAAGCTTCTGCACCATATACGAGAAAGAAAGGTGTTTCTCTCGTGCTCGACTTTGTTGTCTTCCGATACACCCATAGCGCACCCGGTAACTCTTCGGGCCATTTGCCTTTAGCAGCTACTAACCTCTTTTTGAGGTTTTGGATAATCGTCTTATTGGTTGACTCCGTCTGTCCATTGCGCTCGGATGATATTGTGAGGATTTAATTCTCTCGATTTTCAGATCTTCCAGAAATTTTGTGACTTTTGAGCTATGAACTTTGGTATGTTATCTCAGGAAATCTCATTATCTATCCCGAATCGGCAGATTATGTGGTCCTATAGAAAGTTGACCACTTTTCGTTTAGTGATCTTTTGGTAAGGACCTGTTTTAACATATTTAGTGAAGTAATCAGTTAAACTTAAAGGAATCTTACCTTTGCGGGACCCGGTGGCAATGGACCAACTATATTCATCCCCCATTCATGAATGGCCGGGGGGGACAGTACCGAATGCAAGAGTTACGCTGGTTGGTGCACCAACTATGCATAGCTCTAACATTTGTCTCATTTCTGAACGAACGTCTTTGCGTCTTGCTCCATCCGGGGCCAATAGTACCCTTCCCTAATCAATTTTAGTACCAATGAATTTGCACTAGAATTATTCCCGCAAATTCCTTCATGGACTTCTCTCATCACGCAGTACGCCTCCGAGGCTCCCAGACATCGGGTCAGTGGAGCATGGTATGATCTTCTGTATAATTGCCCATCCATGAGGTAGTAATGAGCTGCTGTAGTGCCGGGACGCCTTCGGGTCTTCGGGCAATTTGCCATGTCGAAGATATTCGATGAACTCGTACCGAATGTAGAAGTTAAACAATTGTACCAGAGTCAGATCCTTTCATCTCCATAGACAACCCCAAATTAGCCAATCCATCCTCTTCCACGTTCTCTTCTCTCGGAATGTGTATGATCGACCATTCCTTAAATCATGCAAGTAATGCCTGAACCTTGTTTACATACTGTTGCATTCCTCCTTTGTATCAAAACTCCCGTACACTTGGTTTACTACCAGCTGGGAATCGCATTTGATCTCCATGACCTCGGAGCCAAGTCTCAGGGCCAGTTCAAGTCCCGCAACCAAAGCCTCATACTCGGGTTATTGTTAGTTAACAAAACTGTCTTAATGGCCTGCTTCGGGGTTTTTCCCGAGGGCGTGACTAGAGCCACCCAGAGCCCGAAACCTTTTACACTGGAAGCTCCTTCCATCAACAAAGTACAAACTCCTGATGTCATTTCCGACACCAGTACTGCCTCTTTGGCAACTAAGGGCATTAATCCGGGACTGAAATCGGCCAAAACTTGTGACTTGATAACAGTCCTGGGCTTGTACTCAATATCGAATTTGCTGATTTCGACTGCCCATTTAGCCAACCGGCCAAACAACTTAGGCTTGTGAAGAGTGTTCCTCAGGGGAAAGGCTGTCACAACGGATATCGGGTGGTATTAAAAATAAGGCCTAAGCTTTCGAGAGGCCACTACGAGAGCTAAAGGCAGCTTTTTGAGGTGCGGATAGCGAGTCCCGCTCATAATAAATAGAAAATTGTGTACTTTCATCCTCTCAGACTAAAACAGCACTTAGCGCTACTTCTGAGACCACTAGATATATCAGCAATTGTTTACCCTCCCCCAGTTTTGATAGTAGCGGGGCCCTTGAAAGGTACCGTTTCAAGTCTTTCATGGCCTCCTAGAATTTCGGAGTCCACTCTAATTGTTCTTCTTCTTCAGAAGTGAGAAAAAGTGATGACATTTTTCTGAGGATCGTGATATGAATCTGCTTCAGGCTGTTAACCTCCGGTTAATCTTTGTACCTCCTTTACATTTGTTAATTGATCCGGAATGTCCTCGATAGCTTTGATTTTGTCAGGATTTACCTCGATCTCTCTTTGCGAGACCAGAAACCCCAAGAATTTTTCGGAACCAACCCCGAACGCACACTTTTTCGAGTCGAGTTTCATGGTACACTTTCTCAAGATATCGAAATTTTCTTGGAGGTGTTTCAAGTGATCTTCTACATTTAATGACTTGACTAACATGTCATCGATATATGCTTCCATTATTTTGCCTATTTGATTCTCGAACATCTTGTTCACAAGTCTCTGATAAGTGGCTTCGGCGTTTTTAAGCCCAAATGGCATCATATTATAACAATAGGTGCCAAAGTTCATTATGAATGAAGTTTTTTCCCGATCCTTCAGGTTCATCTTAATTTGATTGTACCCAGAGTAGGAGTCAAGGAAACTTATTAACTCGTGTCCGGCCGTTGCATCAATCATTTGATCAATGTTTGGCAATGGGAGAGTCTTTAGGACAAGCCTTATTTAAGTCCTTATAAACTACGCACATTCTAAACTTTTCATTCTTATTTGGAACTACAACTACATTAGCTAACCATTCTGGATACATTACCTCCCGGATTGAACCAATATCGAGTAGTCGAGTTACCTCTTCTTTAACAAACCTGTTTCTGACCTCGGCTAGTAGACGTTTCTTTTACCTTACCAGTGGGAAGTTTGGATCCAGGCTTAGCTTGTGAACGGTGACCTCTAAGGGGATACCTGTCATGTCCGAGTGCGACCAAACAAAACAATTGATGTTAGCTTTAAGGAAATTAATAAATCCTGCTTGAGTTTGGGATTGAGTCTGGTTCCCAAGTGAAATTTCCCTTTCAAGAATTCTTCGAATAAAGCCACATGCTAGAGTTCTTCTGCAGTTGATTTGGTTGCATCTATCTCCTCCGATACCTGAAAGTATCTCGACACCTGGTGAGTTTTGACGACTCCTCGCCTTTATCATCTTCATTTGTTAAGGGAAAAAGCGTCGGTTCCTGTAATTGCTATTTGCTGGGATCCTTCCCTTTGCTGCTAGAAATTGGCACTGCGTTCATCTCTCTTGCTGTAGGTTTATCTCCTCTTATCTGCTTGATTCTTGTCAGGATCGGGAACTTCAATAGTTGATGATATGTTGAGGGCACAACCTTCATCTTTGTATCCACGATCTTCCGAGGATTATGTTGTAACACATGTCACCGTCTACTACTTCAAACGAGGTGGTCTTGGTTAACCTTTCGGTGTTCGTGGGTAGCAGTATCTCTCCTCGGGTTGTCACACTTGCCAAGTTGAACCTAACGAGAAGCTTCGTTGTCGGAATGATGCTTCCGGTTAACTTTGCTTGTTCAAGCACTCTCCATTGAATGATTTTGGCTGAGCTTCTTGGGTCATCCAAAACATGCTTAATCTTGAAATCTGAGACATTGAGAGAAGTTACCAAGGTGTCATTATGTGGCAGAAGAAGACTGTCGGCGTCTTCCTCCGTGAAGGTGATGTCATCTTCTGTGACTTCCCGGAGTCTCTTGTTGTGGGTCACTAATATCTTTATTTTCTTGGTCGCCGAGAAGGTTATGTCATTAATTTCATTCCCTCCGAAAGTCATGTTGATAGTCAACCGAGGGGAGTCTTTTGCTATCTTCAAAGGTTCCGCATTGTCCCCGCTACGGTCGTAATTGTTCTTGGCTCAATCGCTCAAGAACTCCCTGAGATGGCCATTTTTCAACAACGTCACCACCTCTTCACGCAAATGCCGTCAGTCCCTAGTTCCGTGGCCATGAGTCTCATGATATTCGCACCATAAGTTAGGATTCTTCTAGCTCGGATCGGATCCGATTAGCTTCAGAAATCATGTTTCTTTGATATTCCTCATTGTTAATACCAACTCCACTACGCTGATATTGAAATTATAACCCGACAACCTGGGATATTGTGAATCTCAGGCCCCCGATACCTCTTTTTCTTGTAACGACCTGTTGTTCCGGCCATGGTCAGTTTTTCTATCGGGAGCGAACCTATTCGAGGACCGGAACCTTCTGTTGCCGCATTCTTTGATTCTCTCGTATGGTAGGAAACGACCTTTAGAAGATCGCCGATCCGCATCGAAATTGCTTTTGAACTTATCCTGGTTCTCGTCTCAGTCCCATTCCTTGGCTGATGTTGGGAGCCCGAGCTGATCGCCTTCTATCCTTATTTTTGACTCATAACGATTATGGTCATTCGCCCATGTGGTCTCTTGGAATTCGAGCAAGCTTTCCTTCAGCCTTTGGGAGGCGTCGGAACTCCTTGGATTTAGACCCTTTGTGAACGCCTCCTCTGCCCAGTCGTCTGGTAAAACCGGTAACAACATCCTCTCTTTCTGAAACCTGATCACGAACTCCCACAGTAGTTTGGACTCACCTTGGGTGATTCTAAATATGTTTGACTTCCTGGCTTGGACCTTCATTTCATCGACATGAGCCTTTATGAAGGAACCTGCAAGCATTTCAAAAGAGTCAATTGAATGCTTGGGTAAGAGTGAATACCATGTCAGGGCCCCTTTTGTGAGGGTTGCACCAAATTTCTTTAGCAAAACCGATTTGATCTCATGTTGAGCCAAATTGTTCCCTTTTACAACATGGTGTAGGTTTTGATATGCTCATGCGGATCCGAAGTCCCATCGTATTTTGCTATGTCCGGCATTTTGAACCTGTTCGAAATCAACTCCGATGTTGCGCTTGGTTTAAATGGCAATTGAGTGTATTTTTCCGAATCTGGGACTTTCAAAACTGGTGGTGCGTACGGAATTTGATCCATTCGGGCGTGAAACTCCTTCGCGTTTTGATCCATCCATTTATTCATTTCCCTTATAAATCTCATTATCTCGATTTTGAAGGGGTCATTCCCGTTATCGTTATCAGATCCGCTAACGGTCCCCTCCCCCCCCCCCTCCCGCATCGTCGAAACCGACCTCACACCTTGGGGTATTGTTATCAACTCTTTAAGCCGTTTGATTTGCAGGAATGCCGGGAAGAACTGATCTCCTTCTGTTTGTGTTGTTGGAACTGCCTAACAACACTTGCTTCAACTGCGTCATCACCCGATCTTGCCTTGAGAGGTAGCTGATCGCGGCCGTCTCAACACTACACAATGGTAGGAAGAGTGGGTAGCAATAACTAATACCCGAATAGCGGATCAGGGTCGAATTTCCACAGGGAGCTTGGAATGGAGTTGTATTGCCGGTTTAGTTTAGAATTGCGTTTGTACTTCTAATTGCACTCCTAACATTTTTGGGGGTTTTTATATTTAAAACTACTTTTGTAATCTAAGGATTAAAGCTAAATTATGCTAAGGAAATATTGCTAAGTTGTGCTTAATATAGGAAAAAGGCACTAGGGTTGTGACACTACCTAGGTGGCTAGCTAACGGGTAGAAGCTACTAAGGGGAGATTGATAAATCTAGGTTTAGTGCTATAGCCGTTACACAATTGCACTCATTCTCACACCTCTCGGTAAAGAGAACGATTTTGCCCAATTGACTCTCTCGAGACCAATTAGGTAGGCCAATTAGACCGGGCAACTAGGGCTCAAGTAGGGTAGTTACTCTTTCGAGGTTTAACCCGTTAATTGGGACTACCATTCTCATGGGTCCATCCCAATTCCTTGTTGGGTTAACTTTTAGGGTCATATGACTCTCTCTCTCAAGAAGAGTTAGACCCACTAAGCTTGAATTCATGTTTGCAACCACAAATTCTAAATTGAAACACAAAATCAACCCAAATAACAAATACCCAATCTCAATCTCACCCTAGAATACAACACCCATTAACTACCCACACTAGGGTTAAGCCACAACCTAGCTAATGGGTTTAGCTAGACATAATTAAAGAAGAAACAGTAGAAATAGATGATGAAATGAACATAATAATTGATTACTACTTAAAATCTATGATATTCAAGACTAAAATTGCCAAAATAGGCTACAAAATACTTCTCACGAGCGCAGCTCTCGTTCAGCAGCTAAAAATATGACCTAAAAATGTCAAAAAGATCCATTTATACCAAGCTAGAAAATCTGGACAAAAATGCCCCTGCGGGGTAGGCGCGGACCGTGCAAAAAGGGAGCGCGACCGCGTTGGCTCTTGGACTCTTGAACTCTGTTCTCTGAAGTTGGGACCGTGCAGAAATGGAGCGCGGTCGCGTTTCAGGACGGGCGCGGACCGCGTAAAAATGGAGCGCGGCTGCGTGGCAGTACTTTGGCAAAAATACCATCTCTCTGAATCTCATCTACACGGAACGCGTAAAAAGGAGCGCGGACCGCACAGATTGCCCTTGAATGACCCAGTCTCTGAATCTCCTAGTGCGGCCGCGTGGCAAAACAGTGCGGTCCGCGCTAGGTCTCCTTGTTCCCCACTTCAATTGGTCTTTGACACTTGGCAGGTTTCACTCCGTTTTGAGCCGATCATGTCATCTTGTCGCTCAAACCTGCAATCAAGCGCAACTTGTAAGGATTTTGGGATTATTTTGTGGCAATTCATAACAAAAGCAATAGCAAGTAGGGGTATAATCATGTTAAAATCCTAACTTATCAACTCCCCCAAACTTAAACCTTTGCTTGTCCTCAAGCAAACAAAATAAGACCTACCCCAAAAAAAGCAATCCAAGAATTTTCAGCTATCCTAAAGTACCTCAACAAGCATCAATTGGGACTAACAATTGCCCTCAATACGAATGCATCATTAACAGATTTTAGGCTTTTGAAAACTATGGATCAAGTGTGCCACAAGATCATCAAGGGTTGACACATTTCATCAAAGAGCTTTTCTCAAATACCTTGGTCATTGTGAAACCCAAACTCAAACATCCTCAACTCTCCCTAAGCGAACCTCAACTTTTAGAGTAGTGACACACAAACCGAGGTTGATGGGATTTTCACTCAATTCTCTCAAAAAGAAGGTCCCAAATCCGGCTCTAGGTACCATATGCTTGCCCCTTATGTAAGTATCCACTAATGTAGGTTCCCTTTAACTCAAGATCATATAGGGCTTTTGTGGAGTCATTGTAAAGGCTTTTGGGCAAGGTTAGGACATGTTTTTGTTCAAGTGGGTTCAATCTTCCATTAAGCACTTCTTTTGATTCATTTTGGCACACTTTTCTTGACTCATTTGAGTATTTACTTCTTTTTCATGGGGTTAGAGAGACACACTGTCACTCTTTCTTATGCAATTCAACACATTTCTCCTTTTTCTGCCTTTTCCACTCCCTTTTTCACCTTTGTTTTCTTTGAATCCCCTTTTTGACCTTATTCACTTTGGTCTTTCTTTTTTTGCCTTGTCTTTTCTTCCTTTTTCATTGCCTTTCTTTTCTTTTGCTTTTGTACCTTTCACCACATTGTTTCCTTTCTTGCCTCTCCCCCCAAACTTATACATTTGTCATTTACTCAAGGGAAGATGTGGGTGCCAAGAGAGGGTCTCATTGAAAACAGGTATAGGCTTGTAGTTTTGGTTCTTGAAAGAAGGAAGTTTGAGGCTCAAAAGGGTTAACTAGGGAATCATTTCATTGGTAGGCTATGGAGTTGTTCAACTTAGCATTTGGATCAAGGAGAGCCTATAATCACTTCTCAAGTCAAATTTCACCTAGGATTTCGCCTCAACAAACATTCGGGGCAAGTTCTAGGCCATCGGCTCGGGACTTGGACTCACAATTCTAATTCTCACCACGCACCCTCAAGGATTGCTAAAGACATCGAGTCGAGGGCCCACAACGACCTTAGTTACGATTCAAGCGCACAATGGTTCAACAAGACCACATGATGATTGTTTGGTCAACACAAGAGTCTCAAGGCCACGACTTTCACCATCCTAGGCACAACATTATGTCTTTGACCATGGGATCAAAGGCAAATGTGTTAGGCCCAAGTGAATCTTTGCCTGAGGTACCCTTAACTACGCAAAATCAAACGAAAAAAATCAAAAACGGACTCAAACCCTTAAGAAGGTTGTCACGCCATCTATCATTAGGAAGAGCCACCCGGTTCGCACAACACTCTACCCTTGGAAAGAACCGTGGCATTAAGAAAACCAAGGGCTTATTGACAACGCCAAAACCAAAACAAAAGGCTACGTGCCTAAATACCAAGCTAAAAACGAAATTTTTTAACGAAAGTAGAAAAACCGAATGAATATGTACAATGGGGAGTAGAATATACAACGGGGATGAATATATACATAAAGTAGAGAAGTAGCCAAAATTAGCAGTTATATACAGGCCAACTATCAAATCTAAAACATGAACTAAAGTAAATATATACAATCAAATCTATACAGTATCAAAAATCAAAACAGTAGGGCGCACCCCCACGAATAAGAGCTGGCATTGTCCCCAATGCCAACTACCAAAATAAGCATAAAAACAGAGAAAGGATATAGAATGGCTCCTCAAGCCTGATCCGTCTGCATGGGCTGATCAGTGGTCCCCTGGTCCGCTGTACTGGCAGGAACCTTAGACTGGTTCCCGGCCTGCTGCTGCTCTGCTGCTGGGATAGGGGCCGGGTCATGGACCGGCTGAACATCTGGTGGAGCAGTGGAGGTACCCTCCTGAACCTGTGCCACCTCTATCACAACACCC